TCAATGTTTCACGTTATGTTCTTTGTAATGCCAAAGGAAAGTGTGGGTATAGATTTTATTTTATTTTATTTTTTTCAGTCAGTTTTGGGAGAGACAACACAAATACTGATGCTCATGACATATGTGTGGCATCAGGACACCCTTCAACACCTCTGGCTTATAATGTGAACAACACAAGAGGTGTCCAATCTCTAGAAAAATACTTGAAAAATTATGGGGAAAATGACTGTGTTTTTTTTTTTTCTTTTACTGTACAGGTATACCCATTTGTGTTTATGGTAATCCTTTTCCAAGTTGATGCAGTTCTGAAACCCCACAAAGCTTTTTATGCCTTTGGTTAATGCATTTGGAATCATAGTAGGACAGTTAATATTATCAATATGACTTCATTATTTAATGTATTTTACATTTACTCAAATTTTAAATAAATTGCTTATTAGTGAGCTGTATAATCCCCAAAACTAGAATCAAGTGTTCCTCAAGCATCCTAAATAAGAAATGTGACTCTAATTTTATTTAGAATAAATCTACCATATGGTGGTATTATTTGCTAAGGTTGTGTAGATTACCGAATAACTTACTTTCTGGGTACTTTTTATTAAATTCTGATTCTAAATACCAAAGGGTGTATTTTCAGGTGCTCATTGTAAACTTCATGGAGATCAGACTGAATTTTATACCACTTCTAATAGGGTCAGTATACATCTGTGTTATGTTGTCAACAAGTTAGGATTATTTTTTTGTTAATTTAAATAGCATTAAAGTTTCAATTAGAAGATAATCCTTTTTTTGTAACAAATTTGATTTTTAAAAGAGCATAATATTTATGGTAGTGGAAGCCCCTGAACAATAGATAGGTATAGATCAGCCTATAATGTGTACTTTTAAGACTTGTTATGATTCAAGTAACTGTCACTTTTGAACTGAGAAAAGTAGGAATTGAAAAAAAGATGCCTTATCTGACTTGGACATTTATAAAAATATATAAAACATACACGTTGGTTAAGGAATTAAGGGTTATTTTTATAATTATAGTGACACTATAGAAAAAGAAATGAAATTAGCATGTTATAACACTGTTACATTTATCTCTCATAAATAATTCAAGTTGATGTAATGGATTATTTCATCCAATTTGTTCAGCATTAATTTTTTTCATGATGTTTTCAGGTGTTTATTGACAAATTTCAGATTATTGAACTGTAAATTGTTTGAAAGACTTGACAGACTTCTGAATGTCTAAAAGGTACATTGCAGCATAATCAATCTCAGGATTATTACACTTATTCATGACAGCAAAACATCAAATGTGTTTTCTTATTTATGTTTGAAATCCTGATGTGATCAAGTTACAACTTCATTTTCTGAAATCCGTTTCCTCTATAGGGACTAATGCTGTGTTGTAATAGGTAGCACAGTATCAAAGCAAAACCAGAGATGGACTTTGCCATTAAGAAGCTGAAGATAAAAATAGTACAGATAGATTCTGATTCCCATGTAAGGAGCTAATGCCTGAGGATATATAAAGAGAGAGTACAGGGTCCACAATGGAGCCAGTGGAAAGGAGGTTTTAGAGATGGCATCCTGGAAGGGAAAGCATGGTATCTGTGGGAGTTTTGCCACATTAAAGTCACAGAACAGGCAGCCTGAGCAGGTGGACCCACATCTACACAGGCCCTAAGGGTGAAAGTGAATAGAAAATGGCAGTCATCAGTGTAATTGGAGAATGAAATGTGAGGAGAGAAATAATGAATCTGGAGATTTAGAGAGTATCTAGGCGCTGAAGAGCCTTTCTAAAGAAGATGGATAATTCGAGTCTATATTTTATCTTTCTGTCATTTATTCCTTTTCATTAGGAAATAGGAGTTCATATAAAACAAGGTGAAATCTAAAGGATTTTTGTCTTTAATGGATTTTATATCTACCCCAGTTCATCTCATTGAACATTCAAACATGCTTTAGAACCTGTGGTGGTTTTACTTAAGGAAATTAGGACAAATGTATCTGTAGATTAAATGTGTTATTTGTTCCCAGTGGAAGTCTGGCTCTGTTCATTATATGTCAGAAGAGGAGTGATTATTGTAATTTTTTTTGAAAAATTTTTCTTAGTTAAATCTTATGAATACTTGCTAAGGAGATATGGAATTGAGTCAGATTTAGAAATTTTAATGCTGATCCAAATGCAAGAAATCCTTCTTAAAAGGCCAAGAATTATTTCAATATACATCAATTTTGAAGTACTTAAGTCATCATGGTGAATATCTTGGCATTAATGCATTTAAGGCCATAGGTTCACAACCAGCTGCAAGTCATTATGGTTTATAATGCTCTAATTAGGACACAGTTGTTCAGTAGGCACTGAATGGAAACTGAAATAAATGCTGCATATAAATGAAAAAAATCAGAGCTAAGAATGATGCTAATTAAAACATTAAGAATAAAATCATGGAAAATGTATTATTCATTGTCTCTAATTTGGAAAATGTAAGCTGTGAGGACGAGACATTTTTATTTGTGAAAAATAAGAGTTCCATTTATATTTAAAGCTTTCTTCAATGAAGACCTTATAGGAACACTGAAATGCTCAGGTGTGGCTCATATACAGTTTAGATTTAAACTCAAATTCATGTGGAGGTAAAAGAAACCTTATATGGTGTTGGTGGAAATGTAAATTAGTACAGTCATTTGAGAAAACTAGAGAAGTTCCTCAAAATATTAAAAATAGATTGACTATATGATTTAGCAACTCCATATCTGAATATATATCCTAGGGATCTGAAATGAGAATTTCAAAGAAATGCCTTCACGTCTGTTCGTTGAAGCATTATTAGTAATAGCCAAGATATGAAACAAAAGGATGAATGGATAAATAAAAAATGTGATATATATATATATATATCATGATATGCTATTCAGCTTTAAATGAGAAGGAAATTCTATATTTGCAACAATGTAGATGAACCTGGATTACTTTATGCTCAGTGAAATGAAAGAAGCCAGCACAGAGAAATAAATGCTATGTGGTCTCACTACAATTGGCATTTTAAAAAGTCAAACTTGACGAAGTAGGGGATAGAATCGGAGTTACTAGAGGTGACAGTTGGAATGGGTGGCATAGGGAATGGGGAGATGTGCAAAGGGTTGGTTACAAATTTTCAGTTATACAGGAGGAATGTATTTCAGGAATCTGTTGCATGGCATGGTGACTATAGTCAATAGTAGAGAAGTATGAACTTCAAAATTTAACATTTTAAATGTTCTCACACGAGAGATGGTGGATATATTAATTAGCTTGATTTAATCATTGCACAAAGTAAGCATATATCAAAATATCATGTTATACTATATAAATATATACAATTCTTCCTTGTCCAATTAAATAAATGCTATGTGATCTCACTAGCAAATTAAAAATAAAGTCAACTTTAAAGATTAACTCAGATTCAGTGATTGCAATGAAAAAATCATCCATTAAAATCTTAAAATGCAAATGTGTCAAACTATATTGTTTGAAATTATATCTGAGAAAAAATATTCCCCATTTTCATGTCTTCCTTCTTCAAGGAAATGAAAGTTTTTTTTTTTTTAACTTAATCAATTCTCCTATCTATAAGGATAATGAAGTGGAGGGTTTCTAATATTATATATTTATTAGTGTTTAGTCAGGCAGATTTGGTCACAAAAAACAATAAAATGAAACAGAGTCCAATTCAAGTGGACAAAGGGGGATTGGACAGTGCATTAAAAGGTTAAGTAAAATTTTAAAGCAAAGCAAAACAAAACAGAAGCACATCATGGTACATTGTGAAGCCCAGTGAAAAGTAGCAGCCAGCAGAGTCCTAAGATTGACTCTAAACTAGGAATACCTGAAGAGGAAGCATGATTTGGTTCTCACTCCAGTGCATGCAGTGTATACCAGGCTTACCTGAGCCAACCTTGAAGTAGAGATGGTTTAATTTCTTATTCCTGCTTGCTTGTTAGCCGAGTGACTTCAGATGAATTACTTCTGCCATTAAACGCCCAGTTTTCATTCCGTGCCCAGTGAACCATTGTGTCCTAATTAGAAGTTTTACCTACTTCTAGAGTAAAAGGAAAATCTGTGGAAAATATTTAGTACAGCAAAAGTTGGTTAACTAGAGCTGCTGTCTTCTTCTCCTTCTTCTACCTCTGATTGATCATCAGCACCCTTGTGTACTGACGCTGATATGGCTCATAAATTTTTTGTTTTAGATTCCCTCAGTATATACTCTCACTTTTCTTAGGATTACCAACTGATTTAGCTTTCATGCAAGTCTTCAAATTATAGTTGTGTTTGCCTCATACGTTTAACTTTTTTATAAGCTTACCCTGTATCCTTTGTGGTTTAATTTCTTCTGTTAATAGCCTGATTATTTCTGAGCTTCCTAAATCGAACAACAAAGAGACGAATTTATCCTAATCATTTTTTTTTTCTCAAAATGGAGATCTCAGTGTCTGGCTATACCTTTGTCTGATCTTTGACTCTGTTATGCTTCTGTCAATAACCTGCTGAGTCACATAGTTTAAAAAAAAATGGCTTCATCTGGTGTTCTCCTACACAGGCAATGCTGGAGCATTTACTTAGCAATAATCATAGCTGTCACATGCTTCCTCCCTCTAATTAAGCACACATAGAAAATTAAGATTCAATGATTTGCCAAAATTATGAAATCAATTGTGAGTAGTTAGTCTGGCTCTTAAATAAATGATCTCATGTCACCCAACCTAATACACTTTTGAGTATACTTTAAGTATTTTTGGTTACATCAACTTTTTTTTTACCATTTGAAATTTTTGTAAAATATTGTATCATTTTTGTATTTATAAATTTAAAAGATTCTTAGGTATCAGAATTTAATCATTTATTGTTTTGGTATAACCCAAATTCTATGCTGTGCCTTGAAATGCAATATTTTGTTTTACTAGGTCTTATTTCTAATTGTATTCTATTGACTTGTTCTTTTTCTTTTAACTTTTCTCAGGTTGCTAAGTTGGCTATCCCCGTGCAAGCCTTGGAGTCCCAATGGGGGACTCAGGATCAAGAAGATCTACCTTGGTCTCACGGTTGCCAATATTTAGAAAAAGTATTAGCAGAAGACATGACTCTCTTCCTTCTTCACCCTCTTCCAGCAATACGGTTGGTGTCCACAGTTCTTCTCCTTCCAGCACTAACTCAAGCTCAGGTAGTACAGGAAAACGCAGGAGCATATTCCGAGCTCCTTCCATCAGCTTCCACCATAAGAAAGGGAGTGAACCTAAGCAAGAACCCACTAACCAGAACCTTAGTATTTCAAATGGTGCTCAACCTGGTCACAGCAATATGCAGAAACTGAGTTTGGAAGAACATATTAAAACCAGGGGAAGACATTCTGTGGGTTTTAGTAGTTCACGACATAAGAAGATAACAAGATCCTTGACAGAGAATTTTGAAAGGGAAAAGGAGCACTCAACTAATAAGAATGTCTTTATAAATTGTCTAAGTTCTGGGAAAAGTGAGGGAGATGATTCTGGATTCACAGAAGAACAAACTCGCCGTTCTGTTAAGCAGTCAACAAGGAAGTTACTCCCTAAATCTTTTTCATCTCACTATAAATTTTCTAAGCCAGTTCCACAGAGCCAATCCATTTCGTTGGTACAACAGTCTGAATTTTCACTTGAAATTACACAGTACCAAGAGAGAGAACCTGTGTTAGTAAGAGCTTCTCCATCTTGTTCTGTGGATGTAAATGAACGGGCAGGAAGCTCTTTGCAATCTCCTTTGCTTTCTGCTGATCTTACCACAGCCCAGACACCTTCAGAATTTTTAGCCTTGACTGAAGATTCTGTATCTGAAGCAGATGCATTTCCTAATAGTGGAAGCTTAGCATCCCACTGTGACAATGGTGGCCCCAATGACCCTACCTCTCAGAGCTCTCCCAAACCTGCTGCTATTACAAAGACAACAATAGAACTTATGGGAGCTGTGCCTGGTGCAGTTATGTCTCCTGGGAAATACAGGTTAGAAGGTCGATGTAGCACTGAATCTAATTCCTTATCAGAAACCTCTGCTGCTAATCAAAAGGAAATGTCATTGCAAATCACTGAGCTACCGGTTAAGAATGTGAACAACTCAGAGACTCACCTATCAGCAGATACTCAAAGAGAAGAAAATATGCCATTACAAAATGGTGAATCAATGCCAAGGACAGGCTCTCCAAGGAAACTTGGATTCTATGAGCAACATAAAGCAATAGCTGAACGTGTTAAAGGGACTCATCCTGTTTCAGATTCAAGGATAATACCTTCTTCTGGTGATCATCACATTTTAAACAAAACATCCTATGGTTATGAAGCAAGTACAGCCAGAGGTATGCTGCTTTTCTTTGTATAATACATGATGTGAATCAATGTTCATTATAATGTATTCAATTTTCTCACTTTATCTCATGTATCCACATTTTCTTCATTTTTTCACTCTACATTTCTTCTCCTTTGTTTTAAATGCTGCTGCTTCTTAATTTTAAATTTACCTCAATTATATATATTAAAAACATAACTCATTAATACTATTCATTTTCCTCTACTATGTTACTCAGATTCTAACCTCCAAGGAAAGTGGAAGGAAATTAATTCTGTTTGTAATGTGACTTTATGTAGAATAAAGGCTGTCTTTTTTTTAATAATCCACTATGAAGTTATTGGTATTTCATAATTAGTGAAATGAATATATTTCATCCAAACTCATTATACATTTTTATGCTTTAAATTCTGTTGCTTATGTTAACAAATGTTTATTAACTAGGGCACATGATTTGACATAAATCATCCCTATCTCTTGACAAGAATTAATTGCAAACTTTAAAAATAAGATTCATGGAGCATATAGCCCCTGCCTGATTTTGATCCTGTCTCTAAAATTAACTAGATGTGCAATCTGGCACTCATTCTCTTTAGTTTAAAAGAAAGGGTGTGTGTGTGTTTGTGTGTGTGTGTGTTGTGTGTGTGTGTGTGTTGTGTGTGTGTGTGTGTATGAGAGAGAGAGAGAGAGAATGAATTATCCCAGTTTGACTCCAGAAAACTTGGTTATTAAACATAAAATTCAGTTCAAGAAAACTTTTGGGTACTTCCTGTATACCCAAAAATGTGCTAAGAAATTTGCATGTACTATTTTATTCAATGTTCACAAAACTTTCATACAGAGTTATTGATAAAAATTTATAATTGATAACATTACCAAGTCACTTTGTTAGCAAATTTGTTGAAATGCAGGCAGTTAAAAAAAAAATCACACAAGTACCCTGATCTGAGCATTACACATTATATGCATGCATTGAAATGTCACTGGGTACCCCACAAATACATAGAACTGGTATAAAAATAAATTTTCTTTTGGTGCAAAAAGAAAGAAAAAAACACCAAAACATAGAAATATGATTATATACCAAATATATATCTTACATATCAAATTCTTATTTAGCGGTGATGACTTGCCTCAATGTATAATTCAATACTGTGCTTTTTTGTCTCTGTGTAAACTAGGGAATAAGCAGTGATGATCTTGGTGATTATTTATCTGTTTGTTAAGAAAATGGATTTAAGACATTTAACACATTAAAATAATTTGACAATGTGTTACCTGCTCTTGTACAGATATTCTGGTAATATCAACAAGGAAAAGATGATATTCTACTATTTTTTATTTGTGAGAATATTGAATATTGATGTGCTCATCTTCATAAGGATTTTGTAATTTGGGACTTAAAAATTTTAAAATCAGTTTTAAGTAAATGTGTTTCAGGCAAAAAAGATGCTGCACACACTCAGTTCCATATACTAAATTTATTTTGTATTTGTTATGAAACATATAGTTAAGCTACTATATTATATGTACCTGAGTGTCTTAGATGTCCTATTAGTACTATTAATAATGAAATTAAATTTTATTCATTAGTTTTAAACTTATTTTAAAAAATTGCTATATTAGTCTAATAGGTTTTGTTAAAAAATGTTTTAACTAGTAGATGACCCTAAATAGAACAGTTAGTTTATTAATTTCTTCATTCAACAAGTATAGTTTTGACACTTTTTGTTTTCTGGAATCAAATGTGGAATTTTTTAAAAATTTATTTTAATTAGGTGTATATGACAGCAGAATGCATTTTGATTCATTGTACACAATTGCAGCACAACTTTACATTTCTCTGGTTGTACACGATGTAGCATCACATCATATGTGCAGTCATACATGTACCTAGGGTAAAGATATCCATCTCATTCCACTATCTTTCCTACTCCCATTCCCACACTCCACCCCACCTTTGCTTTGCCTCATCAAAATTCCCTCATTTTTTCCATGTCTTTCCTATTGTGGATCAGAATCCATTTATTAGAGAGAACATTTGGCCTTTGGATTTCTGGGATTGGCTTACTTACCATCAATTTACCTGCAAATGCCATAATTTAATTATCTTTTAATGCTGAGTAACAGTTCATTGTGTGTATATACCACAGTTTCTTTATCCATTAATCTATTGAAGGGCATCTAGGTTGCTTCCACAGTTTAGCTATTGTGAATTGAGCTGCTATAAACAATGATGTGGCTGAATGCTATAGTAATGCTATAGCATGCTGATTTTAATTCCTTTGGGTATAGACCAAGGGGTGGGACAGTTGGGTCAAATGGTGGTACCATTCCAAGTTTTCTAAGGAATCTCCATACTGCTTTCCTGATTGGTTGCGCCAATTTGCAGTTCCACCAGCAATGTATGAGCATGCCTATTCCCTCACATTATTGCTAACATTTATTGCTATCTGTATTCTTGATAACTGCCATTCTGAATGGTGTGAGATGAAATCTTAGAGTAGTTTTGATTTGCATTTCTTTAATTACTTGAAATGTTGAACATTTTTTCATACGTTTATTGATTGAATGTATATCTTCTTCTAAAAAATGTCTGTTCAGCTCCTTAGCCCATTTATTGATTGGGTTGTTTGTTTTTTTAGTGTTAAGTTTTTGAGTTCTTTATATATCCTGAATATTAGTGTTGTATCTGATGTACATGTGGCAAAAATTTGCTCCCAAAATGTAGATTCTCTCTTCACCTCATTGATTGTTTATTTAGCTGAGAAGCAGCATTTTATTGTGAGTATATCCCATTTATTAATTCTTGATTTTCTTTCTTGCTCTTTAGGAGTCTTGTTAAGTTAAATTGTTTTTAGCACTAGCAATACAACAGGCAGAAGTCTCACCTTCATGAAGCATATTTTCTACTGTGGATACTCAGACAATGAAAGTGCATATAAATAAATATCATATGTTAATAATGGCTGAGTACAAGTTTTAAAACAGAATAAAGGACTGGAATTGGGAAGTGAGGTTGAGGTTTGCCTTTTTCAACATGACAAGAAGGGTGGCACCTAAGGTAGAATATTACAAAGATTTGAATGAAGTTAGAGCAAGCCATGGAGATATTTGAAAGAAATATATTTATGTGAGGATCACAGGTCTAAGGATGTAGGGCTGGAGCCTGAGGTGTTCCAAAAACCTCCAGAAGCTCATGTGGCATAGAAGAATGAAGGGTACAGGGTGGGGGGGATTTGAGGCCGAGCATCTCAACAGGACAGGCCCTGGTGTGAGGATGATGAAATGGGTCATGGCTCAAGGAACCAGGCAGGCCCTTTGGAAAGCTTTATGACCAGAGGAATGATGATGGTGGAGCTTCCTGTGTTAAGCAACATGGTTCTGGCCACCATGTGAAAGCAGGTTTGGTGTTGGGGATGCAGAGAGGCAGGTGCGAGTACGCAAGATAATTTTAGGGAGTATTATGCTAATTTCCAAGGGAACATCTATAAAAACTCAGTTTATATATTCATATTAATATATTCATATTAATTATTTTTCTTTTACTAGTTCTTGCCAGTAGCCTCAGTCCATATCGGGAAGGAAGGTTTATAGAGAGGCGACTCCGGTCCTCATCAGAAGGAACTGCAGGGAGTAGCAGAATGATTTTGAAACCAAAAGATGGAAATGTAGAAGAAGTAAATAGTTTAAGAAAGCAAAGAACGAGTTCCTCATCCTCAAAAATGAACAGTATGGTAAGTATATACATATGGATGCAAATAATAAAATACTGCTTTATATATCTGTCTTCAGGTTTTTGCTTCTTGCAAAAAAATACACTGGCTGAAGGGTAGATATGTATTATTTGAAGGGAAAGTTGATCTCTATAGTTGATGTCACAAATCAGAGTCATTTCTCACTTGAGATTTCTACGGGGCAGAACAGATAGGTGCATACCATGACAGATCCCCTTTAGTTCTTGTCTTCTGTGCTTCCATGGGAAGTTTGCAATTCTTCATTTTAGAACAAGACCCAAAGATACACAAGGTAAAAAAAAAAACTGATTGTGAGGATAGCCTCATTTCCCACTATAAAATGTAGTTTCATAAAACACACTTGCACTCATACCACCTTTAAGCCGTTTAGTCATCTCTCCTGTAGTGTAGCCAGGGTGCGCTACACGGGGTGCCGAGTCTGTGGGGGCCAATCCAACATGCTTATCTGAAGTTCAAACCCACTGCAGGTAAGTGAGATACCAGATTCCTGGTCCAAGCTATAGAGCCTGCATTTAGGATGGGGTGTGTATGTTGGGTGTGGTCTGATCTTACACTTGTGGGGTGGGATGTTATAGGAGTATGCATAAGAAGCTCCCTCACAGAATAAGGTGGAGTTGGGGAGTGGGAATAGCTGAGGCTTGAACTTCATTCCAAGGGTCCATGAGGACTTGTGTCTCATCTATGTTTGGATAAGTTTGCCTTTTTGGAATTTGTTTCGCTTGTTTTCTTGCAAATGTGTCCTTTTTCAGCAGTATATTTTACTCCTGTTGTTTAACAGCATTTCTTTAAAATTATTTACCTACCTACATACCTGCTTACCTCGATCTACCCATCCATAGATATTTGTTGAAAAATGCTAATAAGTAAATCACTTATAATATCTCTATGTACCTTAGATAATATAGTTTCAAATGAAAATTCTAGGTAAGTTATACATGATGATTGTATTATGCAGAATCCTTCAGTTAGTATGGTTACCTTGAGTTTTAGCAAAACCATTCTGCTTGAAATTGGAAGTTATAGCTATTATTTGGGCTTCACCATTTCTTAATATTGGTCAAACAAGGAACTAATGAACAGCCAAGGATATTGGGCTTCCTGGTTACATTGTACGAAAAGATTATAATGGGTTTACATTTGAACATAGTAAGATAGTAAATTGTTTTTCTTTTGTACATTGAAAGTGTTATATCCTTATTGTTGTAGTTGATTTTTTTAAAGTATGAGAATATGTTTAAAAAAGATTTTCATTTGATGAAACCCAAGAAGTTAGAGATAATTGGGAATTATTAAACATTTTTTTCTTCAGATAATTTACATTATTTCTTTATATAGAAGTATTTATATTGATATGTACAGTATAAACTCCTCTTGCTCAAAGTTGAAACTTTTATGTATTCTCATATATCAGATGTTTTTCTTACACCACGTAATTTAAATAATTGCCATTGTAAAAGCGCAAAATCACACTTCTTCTCAATTCCACTTCCGAGATTTACAACTGAAAATGTCAAAAAACATAGAAAGTGATTTTGTTTTTTTGTTTGAACCCTTGTTTAAAATTTTCAAAAAGTGTTCCTGCAGAGTTACAGTCATTCCACTAGATGGCAGTATTACACCATTGCCATGTGGTTGACTAGAAACCTGGGGTGAAGGTATTGAACCTGTTCTCTCAGTTTATGGTTTGTACTAATTGAAATAAATACTGACACTTTTGAACCTTAAAATACTTAATGATTTCACTGTTTCCCTTTGTATTTTCCATATACATTTCATTCGTAATTTCCCTTATTATTCAATAGTTAATTTATAATGTGCAAAATATATTATTTTAGCAATGCAGGGAAGAAATGCTAGGAGGCTCTAGGTAATTCTAAATCTGTGTTGAACAAGTGACAAGTATGTAGGAAATCATAGCTTTATATGTGAAAAGTGACACATTTTCTATATTCCTCTTCCAAAGTAGCTCAAGCAACTGTACATACTTGAGAATGAATCTGTGGTTTAGTTATTATTTCCTTTTAAAGAAATAATAACAGGTGTTTTAATGTTTATTAGTGTCAAGGGACACTTAATGCTTTGAACATTGAGTCCTCATAGAATTACTATGGACTAAGTCTTACTGTTTTAATCAAGTTTTGCAAAAGCTGAAAGATAAGACACCATGAAGATAAATAACTTTCCCAAAATCATATAGATAGTAAATGCCAGAGGTCGGATATGGCTTTTTAAGTTTAAAAACCTACAGGCTTTTTTAAACCTACAGGCTTTGGGGAGAATGTATTAGCTTTAAAATTAATTTGAAGCACTTTTCAATTTTGTTCTGTTAATTCTGTTGAATTAACAGAACATGAAATTAACATGTTTATTTCCCAGCAGCACCAAAAAAAAAAAAAGAAAAGAAATTAACATGTTTAAGGCAACCTATGCTTGGTGTCAGTCTATACTCTAACCCTCTATAACAGATAGAAAAAAACGGAAAAATTAATACTTATTTTGAACTTAAAATATACTAGTATTTCTTGATATAGTGATGAGTGCATCAGTGTCTCTACTGAAATATATAACATCAAATGTGGATATGCATACCAAGGTGGAATTCCAGTCCTTTGTACAGTTCATGGGATGTCAGATATGGGTCTGTTAAGATGCCAAGGTGTTCCTGCATGGCAGAAGATACACTATAATGGATTAGATGCATGAAAATTCTAGTGTTTTTGTATACTTGTGGGATATTGCAATCTAGAAGAGAAAGGGCACATTGAATTAATTTATAAAATGTCAGTGGCCCAGAAACAGCTGGAATTTGCTTAATTTTTTTTTACAGGGAAAATATATCTAAAACTATTTAATAGACATTCACATTTATTTAATTTTTTTTTCAAAGAAACCACTATAGAGACTTTTCTTTATTTTTATCTAAGGAGAAACTTTCTCAATACTTTCCATAGGATTGTCTAAAAGAAGCTCAAAGAGCTTTTCTAGAAATAGGGTTTTCTTCTTTTCTCTTTCTTTCTTTCTTTCTTTTTCTTTCTTTCCCTTCCTTCCTTCCTTCCTTCCTTCCTTCCTTCCTTCCTATCTTTTTTACAAGCTTTCCCTTTGAACTCTGATTTATAAATAAGCATAAGGTTTTGTTATGGTTTCACAAATTTCATTACACAGTGAATTCTCACTCTGGATATTTGCAGGATCACCCTGTCCTGATTTTTTTAAAAAAATAATAATGTGAGGGTAAATTCATAAATAATGAGCAATACAAAGGAACTGACATTCAAGGCAGGAAAGTGCCTGGATTGTGATAATCTTGATTAAATGATAAAAAATAAGCTTCAAGTCTTAGTGACTTTATAATATGCATTTATTTCTCACTCGAGTTATATGTTCATGGTGAAAGGTGCCAGGGGTTCTGTTGTGTCTCTTTGCTGTGTTTTCAGAGTAGCTGTCAAAGCCGCTACTATTGTTAACCTTGCCTTTTACCATGGTAAAATATAAAGAGACTCTGGAGGTCCTGATAATAAAATGCTCTGACCTATGAAAGTCACTTCATTTCTGCTCACAACTCATTGGTCAGATCTCATCAGGTGTCCCAAATTAGACACAAAAGAGGCCATGCAATCTCTCCTTGTGTCTGGAAGGTATAGACTTGATTTGTGTTTGGTGAGCACCAATGACTATCATTTCAAATATTTTTTGTATCTCCATTTTTTAATTAAGTGATATTTCCTTCAGGCCTCTTCCTTACCTGTTGTCCAGTCATTGAATGCCTCACACTGGGTTGGTCATTTGTTGTTGAAAAAGATGAAATCACATCTGAAACTGAAGGATTAATGTATAAGGATGAGTTTTGGTTTTTGGGACATTCTCTCCTCCCTTCTTAATGTCCTTGAGATGTATACTTTAAATGGACTGAATTTACATTTTTATTTGACTCAAGGAGTCTTACTGTATTTGGAAGTATTTTATTACATTACAAATTTGGTTTGGAAAGTTGATTATCTTTAGTTCACTCAGCAAATGCATTCATAGTGTTGCTCTGAACTGTTGTGCTAAGTGATCCTGACAGCAGTCATTTATGGCCAGTTTTGCTCTGATGCAGCATAATTTCCTCTCATTTGCAGTTGGGCATCCTGCTGCTTTGTGTAGAAACTGTGACTGGCATAGTAAAAACATCAGTCTTAGGAATGCCTTGGTGGAAATGAGGACCAGATTTATGTTTGATTTTAAAACAAGAAAAAGTAGTAATATACATATATTTATTTTCTCATGAATATTTTAATGCTTTGGTATGTTGAACTCTAGATAATCACTGTTAATAGTTGAACAATTTAAGACTAATTAATCAAGCACTATTTAGGAGACTCAAGCAATTTATTATGCATATGCTTTTTTTCTGGGCCCTGTGGGTTTTTTTTTTTTCACTTATTAGCTTATCCTTTGTTCATTACTATCAGTTCATTCATGAATTCAGAGTTTCTTTAATAAATACTGATTGAGAACTTATTCTGATGATACAAAGAAGAGTCACTTGAGGATTTTAGAGTCCTGAGATAAGGAGAAAATAATGTTGACCATGATCTTGTCAATACAACAAATTTAACCATTTTGATACAGTAAAGAGAAAGACACAGAATGAATCTCAATATTAGTATTCCAAATAGCAGTTGAAAAAGACTCCATCTCTACAACCTGCCTGGCAAAAGAATTCCAATGGCCTCATTTGGGATAGGCACCATCACATTTCCATTCTGTGGGGTGAAAGTTGTTCATTAAGAGCAAAAGAAAGATGATGATTATACCTGACTCAAGATATGTCTCCCCTGAATCCTTAAGTCCTTAATGAGAATTTGCAATAAGTAATAATGCTAATGGATGTTGGGGTGTTAAAATAATAATTGTAGCTTTTGGTGTAACTCATTATCAGTGAGATTAAAGACAATGTAATTGCACATGTCAGACATGTTTAATGAGCAAAGGAAGTC